GTATGTTTGCAGTGTGATTATTTTTTATAAACCACTGTAGGGATGTAGGAAACAACATATGATGATGGGACCAGTGACGATTTCCGCTGGTACAGCTTACCTGAGCTGTTTGTTTTTTTAATTTAAGCCACAAAGCCAGAGATACTTCTCTCCTGAGGGTACAATCCCTAGACATAATCCTAGAAATTGCTTGTCAACTGTTAAATTACACCTCACCCTTGGTAGTTTTTCCTACAGCGAGACAGCTGCCTGCACACTGTGGCACAGCCTACAGCAGTAATATCTCCTTGAAGTAGATAATTTCTGATGATTGTGTTACTACTCTGTACACAGGATTCAGACAGCAGTCATTTTTCAGACCATTTTCCATGATAGCCATCATCAAAATGTTTTCACTAGCAAGTACTAAAATGGGGTAAATTTCCCACATTCCAACATTTTATACATCACAGCTTATAATTTTGCTTTTATTTCATATTTTCATGGAAGCCTTGGTGGGACAAGGCCACCTCAAATCTGTGAACTTGAGCCTGTGCCCAACATTAACTCTCTGCCCTGAGCCATCCTGTTCAATTAATGAGATTTCTTCATATGGGGTAAGGTGAAGTTTGCCAAAACCAGCACAGTGTGGTCCTGCACAATCAGGGTCCAAATAAAATTTAGATGTAGGGTAAGGAAAAAAAAAGAGACTGGAAAAGTTTTTGTAGAATCATAGAATTGCTTAGGTTGGAAAAGATGTTCAAGACTGCCTATAACCATTAATCTAGCTCTACTAAGTCCACTGCTAAACCATGTCCCTGAGTGAAAATATGGTACTTAAAAACCAGATCTGTCACACCATGACAGATGCAGTGACTCTTCCTGTCCCAGCTCGGCTGGTGAGGTCCATTTCTCTTCTTCTGGGTGTCACACAACAGATCTTGGATTTCTCCAGCGGCTGCTGCTTTGGAGGGATGTGTCAGTCACTCTTGGTTTCCTTCTCAGGTTTCTGAAGTCGGATTTCTGCCTTGATTTCTCAGCTCAGGCAAATCACTTGCACCTCTGACCCATGCCTTTCTCATCTACTCTAGGGGAGCTCTCTCCTTGTGGTTATTTGCTGCTATTACCTTTTGCTCATCTTGTGTTGGAATATATTTATATGACTTTAGGCAAGCACACTTTTCAAAAAATGGTGATAATGCTGTCAGTAGGTGTGCTGCCTGTCTCTGCTCCCTTTTCTTCCCAAGCTCTTCTTATGCATGTGCCTTTTTGCTCCCAAAAGCAAAGCCCATGACTCAACTCACAGTAGCTTTAGCAAGTGTGAAACCCCAAGAGGACTTGTTGCAGCTGCTGGCAGATGTTGAGAGCATTTCTGAGCCAGCTTTCCCCACAGCTCTCAGGCTCCATGTTCCTCATAGGTGCCTTGGTCTTTCTTGTTCCTCTTCTCTCCTGGTGTGGTGTACACCCAGCCTTGGTGAAGCTGAAGCTGTGCCCATCCTCTGCCACTACACCAGCATCCTATTATCTGAAAACCATCCTCCTGCACTGGGATTAGTTAACCTTTTACTGTCTGGTTTCTATTTGTCTGGATGCATGTTGCTACACCATGGAAACACCATCACAAGTGCTCCATGGTCAGTCATATGTATGACACATAACTACTGTATCGTGTGCTGTCAGCTGCTTAAATTCACCCAGCTACTCCCAGCCTCCCACATTACTTTATAACTTTGGCTTCTCATTGGATTTGGGTGGGTTTTTAGCTCAAATTCTGATGCCTCTGAAATGACTGGATTGACTTTAGCAGAACCAACACATAACCCTACATGTGAGGCTTGACTTTTACATTCCCAGTCAGCCCTACCTCAGCATTCAGCGCTGAGCCCATGTTCCTACATTTCTGCCTTCCAACAAACCCTATGAATTGAATTACCATAATCACATGCAGCTCCATACATGCAAGTTCAGCTCTAGCTGTCGGAGCAAGGCCAGACACTCACACAAGAGACAGGAACAGATGTCTCCCTCTGAATGCCTCACAGTGTTTTGACACTCAGTTTTGGTAGACAGAAGCTCCATCCATTGGGGTTGACATTCTGGTTTTTACCTTTGGGTGGCATTTGCAGCAGGCAGTTTCAGCTTCGTAGAGGCAGCCAGGAATGTGGGTGCGTGCTGGGTACCGACAGGAACTAGACTTTCAAAGAAATTCTCCAGACCATTTCATTAAGGCTTTTTTTGATCTCCAGGGTTCATAAACACTTCATATTTTCAGTTGCTAAACCATCAGTCTGTGTTCTTTTCATTTTACGCTTTGATTGCAGAAATTTTATTTTAGCTGACGTTCCTGTCCATTTAATCGTTCTGCCGAGTCCAAAACGCTCATTTAATTTTCCTCTCTAATTTGCAGCACACATATTAAGAGTTGTTACTCATTTGTATTAGGTGACCTAACACCCCTCAGGATTTCAGCAGAAGTTGAGGGATGTTTTGGTTCTGAGTGTGGAGTTTCTGTGGACGTAGCCCGTGGAGTCAGTGAGGGACAGGGTGTCTCCATTACAAATACAACGCTACTCATGGCCACAGTTACCATGTGAACATTACAACACGTTTTGGGACCTTGTCAACCATAAGCAACCCCCCCTCCCTGGCCTTCTGCAAACTATTTCAGCTGTAACTAGTGAGCTGCTCAATGATACTGTTCTTTTAATTGTTCAACTGCTGTCTTCCATTTCCCTGGAGAAGGGATTCAAAATGCTATTCAGGGATCACACAAAACCCTTCGTATTTTCCAGTATTTTTGGCACTTGTGGCCAGACACCTAGAAAAAGAATGTATTAATTATTAATTAAAATCCCCAAAACTTCTTTTAGGAAGACTATTTCCTCAGGCATGGAAGGTCCCCAGAGAAAGCAAATCCCAATTTCAGCTCCACATTAAGTCCTGCCAACCCCATCAAATGTCGGCAGCTTGAAATGCATTGCAGCCGTCTTTCTCTCTTTGCAGATAAAACTGTGTATTTCCTCTGAAGAGGCAATCTCCTGATCTAGAAGATAAATTTGTACAAGAGCCCTGTAGAACACCTGCAAGCATCTGAGAGCATGGTCCAAACAGTGGAGAGACACGGTCAGCTGCTTCACAATGCGGCAGCTGGTGAACGAGTGGTATTACTGTTCTGAAACAAATCTCAAAACCAAAAACTAACCTCAATTCCTAAAGAGATAGAGCCATCAGATGGTCTGGCATGTAGACAAGATAGATCTTTGGAAAACCGATTTCACCAGAGATTCTGTTTGACATTACAGAAGGTGATGATGTCCAGGAAAAGCATCTAAATATTCATAGGGTGAATGCACTTATTCAAAGGAGATGTAGCTATATTATAGATATGTGGAAATTCTACTTCTAAATGCATATAGGTTAATGTAAATTGTGAAATACTGGTAAAGAAATACTCCTCAGGAATCTACAAACTCCTCCCCACTTCTGCTCTTCCCCTTTATCTAACTTCTTGCTTTCAAGAAACATTTTTTTTTTTTTTTAGACTAGTGTAACAGATTTGTTGCTTGGGACAAATAGGAGATTCACCTGCTGTAGCATGCAACTCCTAAGACCAGGAGTGGTGCCAAAAATGGCAGAAATTCAGAGTCATCCAAATAAAACTTTGCCTCCTACTCTGCAAATCAACACTACAACTGGAAGGACAATTTTTTTTTTCCAATTGGGGAATATTTAATATCAAGTATGAAGTAAGATAATATCAAGTATTAAATAAAATATACCACTCCAACATACGAAGTGTAAAGAATCGGAATCGTTCAGGTTGGAAAAGATCATTGAGTCCAGCTGTTAACCCAGCACTGCCAGGGCACTACTAAATAATGTCCCTCAGCACCACATCTACATGGCTTTGAATGCCCTCCAGGGATGGGGACTCCACCATTGCCCTGGGCAGCCTGGACCAGGCCTTGACAACCCTTTTGAGAGAGACGTTTTTCCTCCTGTCTACCCTGCCCCTTCTCTGGTGCAACTCCAGGCCATTTCCTCTTGGCCTATCTTGTTCCCTGGGAGAAGAGACTGACCCGCACCTCACTCCAATCTCCTTCCAGGGAGTTGTCAAGAGGTCTCCCCTAAGCCTCCTTTCTTCCAGGCTAAAGAGCCCCAGTTCCCTCAGCTGCTCTTCACAAGACTTGTGCTCTAGACCCTTCACCAGCTTCATTGCCCTTCTTTGGACATGCCCCAGCACCCCAATGTCCTTCTTGTAGCGAGGGGCCCAGAGTATATTGGTGAGTGAACATCAGCTCAAGTTATAAGCAAAGGCTGAGATCTGACTTGATCCAAACAGCCCATTTAAGTCCTAAGGTCTCAGTTTCCCATCTACATTGTGGTACAATCATTCACTACTATCTCACACAGATGCTGGGATACTCATTTAAAAGAATTGTGAAACACATGAAAGCTGCTATCAAAATAATGAGCTACTATTCACCCACTTCTTCAAAACACCTCCAGCATCATTATTTTACTCGGCGTTCCTCTAGTTATCCATACATACAGCCACACTATTCATAACACTTGGAGTCAGCAGCTAATTTGAAGAGATTCAGCAAGAAATAAGAAGGGTCTCTCAGACACTACTGGCATTAAGATTCCAGTTGGCTCCCACAGAGATTAAACGAAAAATCTAGTCATGAAGAGCATAAAGTCTCACTTTGCTCTTCTGCTTTATCCAGTAGTCCATGCATATCCTGAATGTTTGTGTTAATCTGCCAATCATTCTAGCCTGGTGATGATTCCACAAAACAAAGCTGTCTTTTCAGTGCCTCCTGCAACTTCTTTACCTTTTTGGTCAGCTTTGCACTTGAACTATCTAACCAATGAGTGGTAAGGGGAAATCTTGGACCAGAGTCCCTTTAAGTACTGGAGAACATGAACTGCTGCAACAGGCAGCGTCTGGTTGTCTTCCCCACCGAGCCAGGAAAACTGCCTACCCACCCCCTGAGGTTTTCTTCTTTGTCTCTTACCTTTTCGATTTTTTCATCAAGCATTCTGAAGAATTCTTGTTGGCTTTCAGAGATGTGCATGCTGAAAGGCAAAGGGAGAGCGTCAGTACCAACAGGGTCCCTTCCATTTTAACGCACTGATGCTGCAGCCCAGGGCTGCTGAGGGACTCTGCTGTCAGCTTTCACCACTGTGAAATATAAATCACTTTACACTTTCATCTACAACGGCAATTATTTTTTTTTTTGGCTTATCCACAGAAAAATTACTGCATTTAGTTCTGTAGCATGCTACACCTGGGATGGTAACTAGGGCCCACATGCATCCAGAGGAGACTATTCTCTTTTCCATGCAGACTGCAGAAACTTAATAGCCACTACCTTTCCTTGGGCCACTGAGAGCCCCCTCTGTGTCGAGACAGAATGTTTTTCAAGACTGCCAACCTCATCACCACAAAATGAGATGCCTACAATGGGAGGTTAAAGCCTCGTGCCAGAAGATCTGCCTGCTCTGCTCCAGCTAGGCCCTGCACTCCACACCCAGGATCATCTACAAGCACTGGCTGGTCCTTCCCTCCCAGATGGGTGGTCCTTACTGCTCCCTCCACAGACCCAGCAGAATATTCACTCCAATTAATTCTACAGAACCAAGAGGCTCAGGGTTTACTGATACAATTTTGCATTAGTGAAGAAAGCTGGAAAATACTATTATTTGTTGTCTGCAAAATGCTGGTGGTGGCACAAGACATCGGGCCCTTCCCCAAGTGGGACCTGCAAGCTAAAAATACAGGAAGGTCAGACACAAAGGAAAGGACAAGGAGACAAAGATGAGGATGCGTGGCAGGTGGCATTTGTGATGTGGCTGCTTTATTTATGCTAGGGAGTGGCAAGAGCCTCCTGCCTGAAATAAGGATATCCCTCTGGGAAAGTGAAGTTGGAGCATCCTCCAGACTAATAGCAGGGAGGAGCACCCAGGCCCGTAAGAGGCTGGAGACAAATGCCAGTGACTCAATGTAAGACACAGAAAGATGAGAAAAAGGCAAGATAGGAGATTGGTGCCAGTGTCAACAGCAATGCCAGATGGTTAGAAGACGTCTCTCAGACATTTTCTCCAACTGTAAAAGCTGGTCTGGCTTGCTGAATTCTCACCCCAGTTCCCTATTCCTCAGTATGATCTTCTCAGCTGTAAAGAGTTAATACTTTTCCCAAGTGCCCAACAACACACTGCACTTCCCTACACAGCTCAGCATTCACACTTGCTATCAGGATGAACGCATACAATGACTTGCTTATGCTGGGCATAAATGAAGGCTCAGTTCAGAAGAGTCATTAAAACCTAAAGCTGGTAATTCAGGAGAGGACACAATTCACCTTTCAGTGGCTGTGGGAGATTAGACAGGGAGAACCTGCCCCTCAGGTTCCCACCTCCAGCTGAGATGGGGTAAGGAAGTTTGTTGGGGGAAGCTGACCCTGTCACCTGCATATTCAGGTGTCTTGGAGAGGGGCTTTAGGGCAGCACAGCCCTTTCTGTGCAGTAAGCACTAGAAAGACCTTCTTGCCTTTGCAACACCAGAGACCCAGTTTCTAATAAAATGGGATGACAGTGTAGGGACTAGCCCCAACCATTATTTATAAGGAAACTAAATGAAGAGGGAAAAAAATGGATTACTGTCTTTGCCATACATACGGCAAGTCTCACAGGAGGTCCTAAAGCCCTTGCAGGCCATCATCTTCAGCAAAGTTTGGCTGGGCAGTAAAATTGCCCTATGATTTAGAGATGCAACACACACACACATGCTGACACTGTGTATTTTTGAGGAGCCGTGTAAAATTGTGAAATCCCCGGCAGGGTGAGGAACTGACAGAGGTAATGAATGGCTGGAAGAGTCAAAAAGCATATCAGAAGGCATGAGAATGCATTTTTAGATGTTTTATGGCAGGCCAATGAAACACATTTTGCCAAAATATGGGATCTTTATCCCCAGCATCAACGTAGACTGGGGGGTGATGGGATTCAGAGCAGGCTTGTGGAGGACAACTCTGGCATACAGGTGATAAATTAGACACAACCCAGCAATGTGCCCTCACAGCCCAGAAGCCAGTTGTGCCCAGAAGCACAGGAGAGACAGGGACCTGCTGGAATGGGGCCAGAGGAGGCCACAAAAATGACTGGAGGCTGAAAACGCTCTGCTGTGAGGCCAGGCTGAGAGAGTTTGGGTTGTTCAGCCTGGGGAAGACAAGGCTCCAGGGACACCTTTCAGTACTTAAATGGAGGGGCTACAAGAAAGATGGGAACTGTCTTTTTAGCAGGGCCTGAATGGGTCTCTCAGCAACCAGATCTAGTGGAAGGCACCACTGCCCATGGTAGGGGCATGGAACTAGGTGATTTTTTAAGGTCCCTTCCAACCCAAACCATCCTGTGATTCTGTGATTTAGCAGGATAAAAATGGTATGAAATACTACTTCTTTCATTTTATGTTTCAGGCTGCCATTCCTCCACGAGTTATGAACATATCTGAGTGTACCTGAAGGGGCATACTCTGGTTAGAGTTGTCAGCAGAGTGAGTTTTCAGAATGAGCAAACACAGTACAAGTGCCTGAGAGGCTGGGGGAGGGATGAAGTCCCATGAAGGTATGGCAGGTACTAGGATCCAGTGTAAAGAGGAAGGACCAGTTCCTTGGTCTCTGTCAAAGGCCCCCATAAATTTACTGCTGGCTCCCTATGTATGCTATTTTTAAAGTCCAGGGCTTTAGACATAAAAATATAAAACCTCTTACAAAAGAGAGGGATTTATCTTACTTTTACAGCTGACATATTAAAACTTTCTCCACTGTAAATGAGCATATAATTTGGTACATAATCCTTGTTTGGTCTTGAAATAACACCTGTTCTACAAGAACAGTTCTACAATATGCATCTAGCAATTTATCTGTTCCTTTCTTCTATTTTAGCTGAACAGTCCTTTTCCACCCAATGCCACTCCCTGCAGTCAGAATGTCACGGTTTTCAGATTATAAACCTTAAAAAAAACACAACTGCACATGATCACAGGTATTTGCTGACTTGGTGATTAGCAACTCAAACACATGTAGCCACTTCATAAACAGAAATCCAGTGGTAGGTTGGGTGAACAGCAGAGGCTTGAGCCAACAGTGGAGGTTTTACTCAGCAGCCTAATGTTACATTCCATAACTCTCTGAGAAGTTTTTTAAGGACTTATTTTTTAAGGACTGTGATAGAAACATTTACCTTTCCCAATACAATGTCTTTAGTTTTTTTTGGTGAAAGGTCTGTCCTAATTTCTGAGGGGACTTTTAAAAATCAGACTTTGATGAGAGAATGGATACCCTGACCCCATGCAGTTCCTCTGCCTTGGATGCACCAGAAGAGATGACCCATCAAAAGAAACAGCCCTTTTTTAGCCCAGGTTGATTAGTCTCCTGTGAGAGCATCTTAGACACATCTCTGACCTTGCTGGGAAGGACTGAGCCACAATAATGAAGTACAACTTTGCTAAAGGGTGATTTCACCTCCACCTCGCTACTGTGAATTTCTTTGCAATTAGATCTGAAGCACTCCATTTTTCCTTTTGAAAGGAGGCTGAATTATACTGTCAGTTCATTAGGAAATAACTGAAGTTTCCAGACTTGAAACCGTGTACGCCACACTTGGTATGCAGCAAGTTTAAGTTAATAAGTGCCCCGGAGGCATGGCATAAAGAACAGCATTTCCACTGCTGTGCAAAATCCAACAGCAAAGCTTTGTCACTGCTTCGTTAAGAACCCGATAGACAGCTCCAAGTCACCCGTTATTTTCAATCCAATTAGTAATTAAAATGTAGCAGTGATGTAGATAAATTAGTTACTAATATCAATAACCAGCTCTGGCTCTGTCACAGGAGTTAAATATTTTGTGGCATATATAACACTGACTGATTTCAGCCAGGGGATGGGCACAGAGCAGCGAGCGAAGGATGAAGAAACTCTCAGCTACAAAACATCCCTGATTTTAAAAACCGACCATTTTAAATGGAAAAGCTTCCCCATTCCTAATCCCAGGCTGCTAACCTAAGCTGAGAGCTACCAAAAACTTCCCTGGGAACTTAACTGATGGTATTTAGCAACACTAGTGCACAGATAATTTTGTTCCTGTGTAAGTTACAGAGAAAGCTGTGCAATAACACAGCATGGTACTCCTGTAAGGCACAGCAAGACCCACCTCATGCATTTTTAAGTCCCACATCTTAGCCGTGCACAGGAGAGGATGCTGCCAGCACAGGCACTGCCCAGCTGGGACGTTGTTCTCAGGACACAAGTGACCTTACTCATTTTTTTTAAATTGAGTATGGTTTTAGGGCTGCTGGAACTACTGACTGGTTTTCACCAGGCAATAATTGTGAAACTGAGAAATTAATCCTGTGTTTATTTTTATTACGACTTAAAAAAAAATAAATTTGAACTTACTTTGCTCTGGGTTGATGTACTAATCCTGGGACCTCTTTATTGGATTTAAGTCTTACATTTGAACTGGCACTTTTTTCCTGAAACACACAGAAAACATAAAACAGAGATACCATCAGTACTTATTAAGCACACAAAGCACAACATGCATTTGTCATCAGTGTCACACTCTGCTGGGTTCAGGCTCTTCTACCTGTACAACCAAATGAGAAAAGCTCATCAAAAACAAAATTAAGGGCAATGCAATTGATGCAATGACCTCATGTGGGCAATTTTTAAATGTCACAGGCTTGGTGGCCTGGGGGATTGTCTCTGGGTCACTGGGTGAAATCCATCAGGGACGCGCAGCAATCAAACACCGCGCTGGCTGATAAATCTCCAGCGGTCCGTGGAGAACCAGATGGACAGCTGGGGCTCAGCTCCTCCAGCTGTATCAGTAACAACACCCTCAGCACCTTCAGTGGAGCAAGGCAGAGCCCCAGAGTCACCCCAGACCTGTAGGTTTGCTCAGAGCAGAGTGAGAAACGTTAGCTTCACGTGGAAAATTGCATGTGGGAGAAAGCACAGATTAAATGTGCCAGTGAGAAGAGCAGCAACAGCAGACTTGACCTGCTCAGCTAGAAAATTGGACACAAGGGGCCCAAGGAAGCAAACCAGAATATGTTTCTACAGAAGAATGCTACTGCATCCTCTGTGGAGAGTCAGAGCCATTAAAAACGTCTTCAAAAAGGGGTGGAGAAGGAAAAGAGTTTAGTTGAGAGGCAGCGTTTCAAGGTAACATCTTGTCCTCGTGCCAAAAGCTTCTGTAAACTACAGCCCAGCACACACACATTATCTATTGTCTGCAAAAACCCGGAGAAGGATACGGCCCCTTCCAGATCTTCCCAGTGCTGGAGCAGATGGGAGAGAGCTGAGTCACATCTCACAGCTCACTGGCTCCACCCATCTGCCTGAATTTCTTAGGCACATCATGCCCATGACAATTTAAGAAATGTAAACTCAAGAATTAGGCTTTTGTGGGTAATTTTGGTGGGTTTGTTTTGTTTTATTTAGTCTTTAAGTGTCTGAATCACACAACATTATTTTTAAGAGGGCTACTAAATCACTGAATTGAAAAAAATACCAAGAAGGCTGTCTAGTGGTTAATATTTTAATGAATAATTCTACAAGGGCTGGAAGCAGCAACGGCCTCAGCATATTTAACACCATTTAATGCATATCTTCTAATCCTCCTAAAGAGAAAATGGTGTCTTAAGTGAAAAGAACAGTGAGAGAGAAAAAAGCCTTTTATCCAGGCCTTAACAAACCTCCTGGATCATTTACATCCTGCCAGCTGCTGCTTGCCCATGATCTCATGTCAAGTCAAAGCAGCAGCACAGAAGACAAAACCACTTGCTTTCAAATTATCTTCTAGTTTTAAGCAGTGTTAAGTGGGGTTGACTATGTACATGCACGTTGCGTGTGCAGGGAACATGTATGCACATGGTCACACATGAGTTGATGTATGACTCATAGAACTGTCAAGCAGACTTAAAAGCAGAATAAAAAGAGAGTGACAGGTCTCATGGAGAAGACACCAAAGCCAGAAATTGGTGTTAACCATGAGCCAGCAATGTGCCCTTGTGGCCAAGAAGGCAAATGGAGTCCTGGGTTTCATGAAAAAGAGTGTGGGCAGCAAGTTGTGGGAGGTTCTCCTCCCCCTCTGATCTGCCCTAGTAAGGCCATTTCTGTAGTATTATGTCCAGTTCTGGTCTCTCCAGTTCAATGGAGACAGGGAACCACTGGAGAGACTCCAGTGGAGGCTAGGAAGATGCTGAGGGGACTGGAGCATCTCTCTGTTGAGGAAAGGCTGAGAGCTCTGGGGCTGTTTAGCCTTCAGAAGAGAAGACTGAAAGGAGATCTTCTCAATGCTTCTCAAGATCTAATGGGTAGGGGTCAAGAGGGAAGACGGGGCCAGACTCTTTCCAGTGGTGCCCAGTGACAGGACAAGGTACAATGGGCACAGACCAGGACCCAGAAGAATGCACCTTCCCAGAAGGAAAAAACCTCTTTCCTATGAGAGTGGAAGGGAAGAGGCTGCACAGAGAGGTTGTGGAGTCCCCTTCTCAGAAGAGATTCCAAACCCACCTGGACACAATCCCAGGTAACTTGGTCTGGGTGACCCTGCTTTAGAAGCGGGGTTGGCTGAGGTGATCTCCAGAGGTCCTGTCCAACTCCTGCCTGTCTGTGATTCTGTAAATCCCAACCTCATGCACCAGGTGAGCCTTTATACTCAGATCTTTTCCACCAGCTTGTTTGCCACAATGCAGAAGCAGAAACAGGGACTGGTCCACACTACACAGCTGGGATGGCACATCTGGATGGTCCATCAGTAAGCACATTCTGCAGTCATAAAACCTTCCCACCTACTGCTACAGAAAGTGAATTTGCAGCTACCTTCTGTCTCCACAGACCCTCACCCTGCAGAGTGACGCTGGGTGAAAGTGAAACACCTTTTGTTGGGCCTTTCCCCAACAAAAAACCTGCTGCAAATCCACTGCCTCAATTAAATGGGAAGGGAAGCTCTGATTTACAGCTCCTGAGTCAGGAGTGGTGATAAATCACATCAGGGCAAACCTGGCTTTCCACACCCCCACTTGTGCTTTGGTCTCACTGCAGATCTATCAGTAGCTGGAATCAGCACAAATCCCAGACTAAAACAACTTCTGTCACTTAGGAATAAACAGAGATATGGAAGTAAAATATATGTTGCTTTCTCTCTGTGGGTCCCAGAGCAATATTCAGAATATCAACTCACAAAGCAAGACGGAAATAAAATTCCAGTTTATTTGACTTCCAGATCCCAAAATTTACTCTTTCCATCCTATTGCTCCTGATAGTTTACACACCTGAATTATATATTACTTACAATTCTTCTATTTAATCAGAGTATGCCACCTTCTCCATCTGCTGCTCAGCAGGGATGAACAGAAAAAGAGTTAAGAAAAAATAAAACCCAACCAGGCCTCAAACTGGCTCGTTGCTTTGTTTATAGCTCTTACTTACAGCAGTGATATTTCATTACACTGACCGAATATTTGCTTTGATAAAAATAGATATTAAAAAATAACCATTCCAAATACAAACAAGTAGAATATTTTTCCCATCACTTTGAAGACAAACTGATTAATCAGAAATTAATAGTTTGGATTCTAATACGGAGCTTGTAAAGAAGCCCAAAATGCTTTAACGTAGTCAGATCGCTCTTCCAGGCTGACATGTCTTTGGTTGAAGGGTTCAGTCTAACCTTATTTTTTCCCTTATTTAACATTAAATAAGTTAGCATCAGCAGAACCATAAGTCATTTGAGAGTCCTAATCTGCTGCAAATAGAAATTAAGATGCAGAAGTTCATTTTTAATCTAGTTCTGCTTATAAGGATTATTTAATGGAGATGCACTAAATGATGTCTTGTATCACAAGCTTCAAATAAACCCCTGAGGATGCTGTACCCTGATAAAGGCATCACCTAGTCTATAGCAAAACAGCAAATAGTGGCTATTTTACTCCCCATTATTTTGCAATTAATCATTATCAAGGTAAAGGTGTCATCCAATCAAGGTGATTTCATTTGATAGATTTGTTAATTACTGTTAATTCCTCCATAAAGGATGCACCACAGTCAAAATTTCAGGGCATTAACAGATGGTGGTGACTCTGCTGCCAGATGCCATTAACACAGCAACAGCCACTACCGCCAGTGTAATTAAATATCTGTCAACATTTCCCTTGATGCTTCCCCTCTTACAGACCTATTCCTAGAGACACGTGAACTTCATCTCAAGTATTTTGCTTTTCTTCATAAAACTGCCACAGATGGACTCAGGTAAGCCGCTAACAGTCTTTCTTCTCAACTCTCTTAACACTCACGGCTTACTAGAGAAGGGCTGGGTTTTAAGAGATGCTTCCCTGAATGCCAAAATATTTTATGAAGAGACTATCTCTTATTTTATACATTTTTCAATTTACTAAATTGGCCAGGAAGAAATCAATTAAAGATGATAGCAGCAATTCTACTACCTGATATAATGGCTAATTTTTATTAACTTCCAGTCACATTCTGGTCTTTAATTGGTTTTCCTTTAAAGTTACAATAATTAAACAAATATACAACCAAATGGGGGGAAACCCCCATAAAACAGTTAAACAGTGTAAGTAAAATTGGGTTCTTAATTTCAAGGCTTTTTTTTTTTTTTTTTTATTTAGAGGAGGCTTAAGTATCCAACTTGTAATTATCCTGGAGGTACCGATGTTTGAAAGTGGCACATTCCCTCAAATTAGTATCAGTTTTAAGATGAGTTGGTCTCTGTAGATTTGCTGCTAAAATATATTGAAGCTGACAGAAACACCAAAGGTCTCTCCAGATAGTGATGATGTTTTACTCAATAGTGGTAGTTTACAGCTATTCAAATATTTATAAAATAATATTCCTCGCCTATAACAAGATGACACTTTTTCCCAAAGGAGCCCACACTGCCTTTCAAACTGCTTTCAGAAGCCATGTAATTCATCACTAAAATCATTTAGGGGAAAAATGAAGTATTTATTTTCTTTTTAGACCATAAACTACTCTTTTGAATAATTGTATTTGAAAAGAAGGAAACTAAATGCAGCAGTTCAAAATGGCATGAAAGACAAGATGTAAAATCTCAATATGCCAGCCCAGCACTTTTTACTTCCCTCAGTTACAAGGACCAGCCTCAGGTAATAATATTAAACGTGGACTGTCTTGATGCATCAGGGTGAACAAGGGTGAATTACTGACCTATGAAATTTTGTTTCCTCACTTTATACATCTGTGAGCATTTATTTTCTGTACTGTCATTTGGCAGGGATGGAGCCTCTTTCTTCTTTCTCTGTCTGCCCAGAAGCAAAACCACCTGAAAATGTTATTTAGGGTAACTTCATAATGAAGAGGCAAACCAAGCATTGAAAAATCTCAGATGCTGGTCAAAGAAGATTATTCTTGGATGCAATTTTATCAGAGGAATCACGTTATCCCTGCCAGAATGTATGTGCATCTATGTTGTGCTGTCCAGAAA